TCCAGTCTCCCATCCCGTTATTGTTATTATTGTTAGGGAATATTATATACATATATATATATATATATATATATATATATAGAGAGAGAGAGAGAGAGAGAGAGTCCATAGCATATATATATCTTTGATAATGAGTAGTATGTGAATGACTGGACAAAATTTCCACTACCGGTTTCGCGGTTCTTGTCGCTCTTTTCAAGTCGTTTTGATATAGTTAATTCTAGGATGCAACTTGTGTATTATTTAACTATTTACTTCTATATGACTATCCCCGGCTAGAAAGAGTGGTTCGGTGTCATGAATATGTTGGATGATGTGGTGATCGAGATCGTATTCCACAGGCCTGCTAGTACCGCCATTAGAATAAAAATTAATTAACAATGCAGAATGCTTGAAAAGGTGTATATGCAGTTAGACTGAGTACTGTCTATCGACCACAGAGGCTTACTTTCATTTGCCCTCCGTTGAAATAGGTCCGCTCCAAGTCATAACTATACAAACTCTCTTCATCTGCACGCATGATGAGCATGGCAGCGATGAAAGATGTTTTCTTGACAGCATTTCACTGTAACGTAATGATGGTTGTGGGAAGTCATAATTCAACCATGGAAATTGGTAGTAGGATACCCCGTAATCGATTGGGAACTCGCCCAAGAGATGAATTTAGGATACGTAGTAAAGAACCGGGCGTAACTCATTTATTCTTCCAAGATTAGTCTTCGAATTCTCATTTCATTTTTACATCGGGTAACATCATGTTGTTATACAAACCCTAAATGTGGAACGGAATTTTGCAAGGCACATGAACGAATGAGAAGGAAAATTAAAGAACGGAGAACCAAAATGATATAACAAACATACCTGTCTGGACAAATCACCACAGGTTCGTTTCAACCGACTAGATTCACGCTGATAGTAGCCCGCGCGGCGCTGAACCTCTTGTCTTTTGGCCTGAGCTTCTTCCAATTTCGTGTTAACAGCATTCAATTGGCTAGACAGGTCCTTCACCTGTGCTTGCATCTTCCTATATCTGTCCTGTTGATCTCGCAGTACGGGAGCTAACGAATGACGGTAAACAGGTTGAAACATCATTGCTAAATCTCGCATTTTTTTCACGTGTAGTGGCCGGTTACAAACAAGCGGCCGTAATTAACGAGAATGAGCACTGACGAAACAGAATAGATAATCGAAAACTCCAAGGTAATTTGAATTGGTAAGCCACATGTTTCCAAAACTTGTTAGATGCACGGTTGTATGCTACTGAAGTCTAAAATGTCGTGTTTGAAGCTCCGGAAGATATTTCCAATATCATTTGGGATCAACCGGTACAGTTCCTTCACCTATTGTGGTTCATTTCCGACTAGACGTATTTGAGTCACTTTTAAAAACACAAATACGAAACATTAATCATCTGAAACAAACATTTCTAACTGTCTACATACAGAAAAAAATATCACATCGGAAAGTTAGATGATCTTTACCACAACCGATCAGTTCAGACAACCCCACCCAGTCTTGGGAAGATGAAAATGTCTGCAGATCAGGCGCCATCTGCTGGTCAGTGACAAAAGTGAACGGCAAAAGCAAGCGCTTCGGTTTTACCTACCAATTTCGGGTCATTAGGTGAGGAATTTCTTTGTTTTCACGGTTTTTACCGGCGTTAACCATGCCTTCTAGTGCGGCAGTTCCTTTTGCTGCCTTCTGGCTGACGAATACCACTTTCTGGGGTGAAGTCGAAAGAAAGAGCGGAAAGCTAAGGGCTCAGCTTTGGTTATTGGTTGAAAGGGATCGGAATATGGAGGTAGGTTGAACCGTGCCTTGAAACCTTGCATTATTCATCATCACCATCGTACGGGGAAAAACAGTGAAGCAATTGTTAAACTTATAGCGCATACAAGCTACGTGAGAATGTGTAAGGTGAATAGGGATTGGATCTATTTTGGGGGATTGGTAAAGAAAGCGAAATTCTATGGTCAACACATGGAGCGCAAGCATTCTGGTTTGATAAACGGTGAAAAAAACATCAATGATGTCGGTTCTCTGCTATGACTTTCAGCGTCTCCAACCAAACAGTTACGGAATAACTTGTATTCCAACCTGAAAGACGGGAGACATCAACTGCCTAGTCGTTCTATGCATTTCTTCATACTGACTATCAGTCTCAATTAATCAATCTCTCAATCATGCTTTCCTTGAGCCAGTACTTTAAGCAGACGGGAAAGGATACAGCTATTACCAATAACCCTAATCTTCTCCACCTCCCTACACTTCATCAACCGCCACTTCTCGTGGTTATTCCTTCGACTCTTGATGATTAGGCATTATAGGCATTTCCAGGGTGTTGGAGGAATGAGCTTGCGAACGTACAGAAAGGTACCCGAGATCTCGGAGATTCATCGTTTCCGCTTTGATCGAGCATTAGAATCCACCGTCGTTTCCATCGACATACCGACAACTTTCTTAATCAACCTACTGTGTCCATTGAGTTCTTCGGTAGGTAGTTGAACTGAGGGGCGTTCAGAGAGCTCTGCTTCAAAGGCCAATTTGACACT